AGGTATTGAAGTTGTCGTATGTCAGGCTATTTTTAAAGGTAAGAGCCTTTGTATTGCTTCTGTTTATATTCCTCCTAGAGCCGTTGTTAATCGCAAACAACTTTCAGATATCTGTTCGGTACTTCCTGCTCCACGGTTGATTATGGGAGATTTGAATTCCCACGGTACAGGCTGGGGGGAACTGTATGATGACAACCGTTCTACTTTGATATATGACCTCTGCGACAGCTTTAATATGACAATTCTTAACAATGGAGAAGTAACACGTTTGGCTGGCCCATCCTCGAATGGAAGTAGATTAGACCTCACACTTTGCTCTAACTCATTATCGTTGGATTGCACGTGGAATGTGATCCAGGATCCTCACGGTAGTGATCACTTGCCGATTAAAATTTCGATTGCCAGTGGGTTCAATCCGTCGGAATCCGTTAACGTCGCGTACGACCTCACCCGTAATATCGATTGGACAAAGTTCAAGAATGTGATAGAAGATGCCCTAACGTCGGTAGAAGGGCTTCCACCGTTGGAGGAATATAACTTCCTCTCCAATCTGATCTTGGACAGCGCGCTTCGAGCTCAAACTCGGCCGGTTCCACGAACGTCTTTGCGTAGGAAACCTCCTTCCCCTTGGTGGGACCACCAATGCACTGAGGTTTATCGTAAAAAGTCCGACGCGTTTAAGCTTTTCCGGAAACGTGGAACACCCGTGTATTTCGAAGCGTACTCGGCTCTTGAACGCAAACTCAAGAGCCTCATCAAAGCCAAGAAACGCGGATACTGGCGGCAATTCGTGGACGGATTATCGCGCGAAACGTCGATGAATACGCTTTGGAACGCGGCGCGAAGGATGCGTAACCGGTCTTCGAACAACGAGAGCGAGGAGTACTCAGATCGTTGGATTCTCAAGTTCGCGCGAAAAGTATGTCCTGATTCCGTGCCGGCACAGATGATTCCTCGCGAAACGACGAATTCTGTAGACGAGATCAGCCAGCCTTTTTCAATGCTGGAACTCTCACTCGCGCTCCTTTCGTGTGGCAATTCGGCTCCGGGGGCTGATAGAATCAAGTTCAACTTGTTGAAGAACCTCCCAGACGTCGCTAAGAGGCGCATGTTGAACTTGTTTTGTCAGTTCCTGGAGCTCAATATTGTTCCGGATGATTGGAGGCAAGTGAGAGTTATAGCCATTAAAAAGCCTGGAAAACTCGCTTCAGATCATAACTCGTATCGTCCCATCGCGATGTTATCGTGCATTCGAAAATTGTTGGAGAAAATGATCCTTTTTCGCTTGGACAAATGGGTTGAGACGAACCACCTACTCTCAGATACTCAATTTGGATTCCGTAGGGGCAAGGGAACGAACGACTGTCTCGCGTTGCTTTCCACAGAAATTCAGTTGGCTTTTGCTAAAAAAGAGCAAATGGCTTCTGTATTCTTGGATATCAAGGGGGCTTTTGATTCAGTATCCGTTGAAGTCCTTTCAGACAAACTCCACGCTTGTGGCCTTTCTCCATTAATAAATAACTTTTTGTACAATTTGCTGTCAGAGAAACATATGAGCTTTTCTCATGGAAACTCTACAGCTTCTCGATTTAGTTACATGGGTCTCCCCCAGGGCTCATGTTTAAGCCCCCTTTTGTATAATTTCTACGTCAGAGAAATTGACAATTGTCTAAGTGACAACTGCACGTTGAAACAACTTGCAGATGACGGCGTAGTGTCTATGACAGGGCCCAAAGGGGTCAACCTGCAAGGACCCTTACAGGATACCTTAGACAATTTGTCTACTTGGGCTATCCAGCTAGGTATCGAATTCTCCACGGAGAAAACTGAGTTGGTCGTTTTTTCTAGGAAGCATAGCCCAGCACAACCAAAGCTTCAACTTTTGGGTAAACCGATCACTCATTCCATGTCTTTCAAATATCTTGGGGTCTGGTTCGATTCCAAATGCACCTGGAGATCCCACATTGAGTATCTGAGACGAAAATGCCAACAAAGGATCAATTTTCTCCGAACAATTACCGGAACGTGGTGGGGAGCTCATCCGCAAGATCTTCTAACGTTGTACCGGACAACGATTTTATCGGTTTTAGAGTACGGTAGTTTTTGCTTCCAGTCGGCGGCTAAAACTCACATCATCAAACTGGAACGTATCCAGTATCGTTGTCTTCGTATCGCGTTAGGATGCATGCACTCGACTCATACGATGAGTCTCGAAGTGTTGGCGGGCATGTTGCCACTATCGGATCGGTTTTCGGAATTGTCCCTCAGGCTCCTCACCCGTTGCGAAGTAATGAACCCACTGGTAATCGAAAACTTTGAAAAGCTTCTTGAGCTGAACCCTCAAACTCGTTTTATGTCATTGTACTACGTGTACATAACACAGGATGTCAGCCCTTCACAGCATAATCCTCATCGTGTATGCTTCTCCGACTTCGGCAATTCAGTTAGTTTTGATTTATCTATGACGCGGGAGATTCGTGGGATCCCAGAACATCATCGTTCCATGATTGTTCCGTCAATTTACGCTGCAAAGTTTGGCCAAGTTGATTCCGCAAGATCGTTCTTCACAGATGGATCACTAATAGAGTCGTCCGCTGGTTTTGGTATTTTTAACGAATTTCATAGCGCCTCTCGAATGCTTCAAGCTCCTTGTTCCGTATATGTTGCTGAGCTGGCGGCAATACATTATACGCTAGAAACGATCGCCTCACTTCCACCAGATCACTATTTTATTTTTACGGATAGTCTCAGTTCTGTCGAGGCTATTCGCTCTATGAGGCCGGTAAAGCACTCCTCGTATTTTCTCATGAAAATACGAGAGCTTTTAAGTGCTTTATCTTTAAGATCTTTTGTCATCACCTTTGCATGGGTCCCATCTCATTGCTCGATTCCGGGCAATGAGATGGCTGACTCACTTGCTAAGGTGGGCGCTATGGAAGGCGATATTTACGATCGACAAATCGCCTACGATGAATTTTTCTTCATTTATCGTCAACAGTCACTCGTCAGCTGGCAGAATAAGTGGAGTGAAGGGAGTTTGGGACGATGGCTATATTCGATCATCCCTAAGGTGTCGAAGAGTTCTTGGTTCAAGGGGTTGGATGTGGGTCGAGACTTCATTCGTATGATGTCTCGCCTCATGTCCAATCACTATTCGTTAAACGCTCACTTGTTCCGTGTTGGGCTGAAGGACAGCAATCTCTGTGAATGTGGACAAGGTTACCAGGACGCAGATCACATTATTTGGTCTTGTGCTGAGCATCGCGGAGTCAGATCTGAACTGTACGATTCCCTTCGGGCTCGAGGTAGACAACCTAATGTTCCAGTTCGGGATATTTTGGCTAGACGCGATCTGGAGTTTATGAAACTCATATATGTTTTCTTGAAGAATATTAACATTAGATTGTTAGTTTTATTAACCATGTGTTTAGTTTGTATTTTGTACGTGTGGGTTTTTTTTATGTTTGTTTTCAAGATGAATAGAAATTCGTTCATGTTTTAGGATTAATTAAATATTTGTATCGTAAACCACATTTCAAACCTCCCTCTCCCTTTTCCCATCCAAAAAAAATTGTAAATCCCCACTAACCTCGAGACAACCGCGAGTATCCGGTCCAGCTCCTTTAACTTTAAATATAAGAAATCAATAATGTATAACAAAAATGATAACTCGGCTCTGTAAAGTTTATTCGATTGAGCCTGTACAAATAAAGTAATTAATAAAAAAAAGAAAATCATTTGCGTTTCCAATGGAAGCTACATGAAAACTATTTTCGGTGTAAAATAGAAAGTTTTTCTTCCGACAGTTTCATCTTAGTATTCTTCTTTGGCTTAACCGCTTCCAATAAATTTTGCACAGTGGTTTTTGACCAAGGCCCAATAACGTTCGATAGGGTAGAGTTCTGGGCGGTTGGGAGGGTTGTGGTCTTTGGGTACCACAACCACGTTGTTCGAATCGCTTTTTTCCCATAGTGGCAGCTCGCCAAGTCCGGCCAGAACAGCACAGGTCTATAATGTTGTTTTAGGAATGGTAGCAGCCGCTTTTCCTGGCACTTCTGGACGTAGATCTCTTGATTGATGGTTCCCGTAGTAATAACAATGCCGCTTTTTAGACCACACGTGCATATGGTCTGCCAGACGAAATATTTTTTTCGGGAACTTCGATAGTTTGATGGTTTTGAAAATTTCAGCCTCCTTCCTTTTTCCTGATGCGGTATAAAACACCTGTCCCGGAAGCTGCTTGAGATCCACCTTCACATAAGTTTAGACGTCCATGACGACACAGTCGAACTTGGTGAGCAGATTCGTATACAGCTTTCGGGACCGCTGCTTTGGCGACGTGTTTTGTTTGTAATCTCGGTTCGCCATCTTCACCTTCTTAAACGTCGACAACCCGGCTCGTTTCTTGGTCCGCTGCACAGTATTATGAAGAGACATTGAGCTTGCCGACGTCCTGGATGGAGAGGTTAGGACCTTCTTCGTCGTCGCTGCCACATCTGGATTACTGTTGCCGCCGCTTCCAGGCTTCCTGGTGGTCGACACACGCTCTCCGAACACTTTTAAAACGTCTGTCACGGTCGATTTGGCCACATCCAGCAATTTTGCCAACTTGGCGTGTGAGACCGTCGGATTCTCTTGTTGCGCGAGCAAAATTTTGACACGCTGCTCCTCTTGCTTGGACGTCATTTTGAAAATTGAAGAGCAAACGGTGAAAACTCATCATAGCAACCATTGTATGTACACTCAACTTCCAAATGCAGCATTTCAGGTTTTTTAAATGCATTTTTAACAGAAATACACCATCAAGACCAATTTTTGCGCGTTCCAGACTTTAATAGTAACAATTTTACGTTACCCTTATGGAATGTTATGAGGAAATCGAAAAGTGAATGAGCCAGGGAGAGGGGCGCAGTACTGAGAGTTTGCCACGTAGACAAAAGTCCTGCTAACGGCTCTGGTATTGTGATATGTTCACTTACCGCAAAAATATTCAAGCAATCTTTGGTTGTTTCAGCGCTTATTTATTTACAAATAGATGCTCAGGACTGCTGCTTTCTTGATTAGTACACGCTCGTACGTTGCCATATTTACTTGTTTATCAAGTTTATGTTAACAACAATTCAGTTTTCCGAAGCTGATTTAACAATTTAACATCTTGTTGATTCAAGCAGGTAATCGGTATGATATTTGTGATCTGTGTACAGTTTGCTCAAGTTTTATTTAACAGTACAAGTTTCAAAGAGTATTCATTTAGTTTGATTTGTATTTCAAGCTTTTGTGTGTCGGTACATGTAAATATATTTTCTATACGTTTGCTTGCTTGTATCAGTATACGGCTCGAATTTCGAAAGACATTTATAGATGGTTAAGGCTCTTCAAGCTTGCTCTTATTCAGCACGCATGTGATTTGTTTCCCGCGATTCGCAGCTTTTGTGCTTTGGTTGAAATATTTATCGGCAGCGAAACACGCTCGAAATATTTCCCGCGCATTTACATTTAGTGCTGTGGCTGCAAGCTCGGATGATTTTCGGCTTCAGTTTGCAAGGTACACTTTAGTTTTTAACGTTATTTCATATCAACGAATAGTGGTTCTGTAATTTCAGATTTTGATTGCTTTAAGCTTGTTATACTGTTATGTTTCTGCTCTTGTTTTACAACTTTTTTTTTTTAGTGACAGTCACTTAACAACGAGTTTGTGTGTAGGATTTTAGTCGAAAAAATCTTACATCCTATTAGTAATGTCAAGGATGTATTTTCAAAAGGACGGATCTGCTTTTGCTAAAAAAAAAACAATTGTCAATTTGTCGAAAGTCTTAGCTCACCCACGCAGTCCTTTTGAAAATTAATCCTTGTTGTATAAGCGTAGTTATTTAGTAGTAGTTGTAGAGAGAACCACTGCACAAAAGAAGCACAGCGAAGAGATTCGATTCTTATCCAAAAAGGTCTATCCTACCTACATGTTCTACACGCCTATCGAGATTTTAGGACACTAAAAGTAGGGATAAAACTGGTAAAAAAATAATACAATTTACCGTCAAGTCAACGATTCTACGTACACACATTGGCCGATGATTCGGGCTCACTCAGCCTAGTTTAGTTAGAAGTTATCAGAGAGAAAAAAAAACGACAATAAATAATCTATGTGATCGAGAGGGATTTTCCAGTAATTCGTGTACATACTTGATTTGGTACCAATTTTGATCGCGGCTAAACGATGCTTCTCGACTTTTGTTTGCTTTATATGACGAAGACTAGATGCCTCATCTGTACTAATGTATTTTTTTTAATTTGAAGTTTAATATCTAAAGTGGCCCTTTCGACCGCGATAGTTGTGGTAGATTCGGAGGGGTTGGTAGCTGCCGTTCGACGGTTGTAGAGGCTGCTGCTGAGGGGACTGGCTTTGCCCATTCGCTTCCGGTGCGGTGATGTGCAGAGCGGATGTAGATGGTACTGTAGTCAAACGTGACGCGCAACGAGGAGCGAGGACAAAGTGATACAAAAGGAAATAGATCACGGCAACGGCACAGGCAACGATGGCTAGCACTTGGAAGGTGGTAATCAGACAGTCTAGCTTGGTCCACGTTGCAATCAGGGCACCGATGAATCGGCCCAGACAGAAGTGGAAGATCACAGGCAGAGCTTGGCCGGTTGTAATAATACGACGAGGGATGATATGGCGCATGTAGAATATAATCGTTAACCAGGTAAGACCAAGGGTTATGGGATAGAGGAAGTCGATAACTACGCGCCACCATGTCACATCCAGGCTGGCCAACAAGGAGAAGCGGAAAATAAAAGTCGTTATAGCAGCGATCAGGATGTTCGAGTGTCCACAGTAGTCAACGATGTTCTCTGCATACCACAAAATCGGAATCACAAGCAGTGCTCCCAGAATGACAAATACGCTCCAGGTTGTTCCGTAGTATTCATCCGAATATGGAAGAACTTCAAAATTCTTGACCAGAACGCCTTCGTAGTTGTCCAAAACGCTCCAAAAGGTTCCCAGAATCAGAGTAACCAAGCAGAGGCCAGCAGCTTCCGGTACGTATCTTCGAATAGCTGACATTGGGATAGCAACCATTCCACATTTGGTGTGCCACCACATCTCTGGAGGAGTAAGAGGCATTCCGGATGACAGTAGGAGAACAATGGCTGCCAGCACCACCAAGGCAACATAGACGTAGTAGGTTTCAAAGAACCAGGATAGGACAAAATAGAACAGGCCCCATCCAATTGCACCCCAAACGATCTGGCGACCGAAATCTCCTCTACCGGTAGAGGTCTCCCGGGTGGCGATAATGGTGGCAGCATTCAGCAGTACGATTGCCGCTAATGGGAAGGCATCCGCAAACGATCGCAACAATAGATAAGACCAGAAAGTGACCTCTGGATCTCCGACAATCTGCAATGAACACAATCCCTATTGATTATCAAACCCAAACATCAGTCAAACAGAAAACTAACCTTCATGCAAACACTTTCAGCCAGTACACTTTCCTCGTTATCGTACGGATTGTGGACTTCGCATTCGATCTTCGGAGTACAGTGCGAAGAGTTGGTCAGCAATTTCATCCACTTGACTTGCTTCTCCGGTATATTGCACGAGAATCCATCCAACGGATACCGACACCACTCGGCACTGTGCGTTTCGTTTTCGTCATTCACTGCGCTCCGTAGAATCGTTTCGAACTTGAGTGATTCGGTAGCCGGGGTGTAAGCGTGACAGATCTCCGATTCGGGAGTGCCTTTGTGTTCGCAGATGTGCGGCACCGGTATGGGCGTGTTATCGACTTCTATTCTCGGCAGCTCCAGATTCGCTGGTGCAACATCTGAATCTTCGTCGGTCAAATCGTAATCGTCATCTTCAATGGAGCTTTCGGTGGAAGGGGATACGGTCACACCTTTGGTGTAGGGGTGATTCAGATTTTCAAATTCGATCGGCTTCTGACAGGTGTACGAACAGTTCAGCAGCGTTAGGTGACCAATCTGTGAAGCAGTTTTAAATCTCGATTATGAATCATCATCTTTTAAATAAACAGTAGAGATCTTACCTTTTCCTTCTTCCAGTGATAGCAGGTACGTTCCTCGGAGCAACGCTGCTGGAAGATGATGGCCCCGTCCAAGTCACATGCGAAGCTCACCTGCGACCGGCTCGACTCTTGGCGTTCAATCGGTGGAACGGCAAAGAACAGAATGGCATACAGGATGGCGGAGACGATCATACAGAAGGAGGCCAGAAAACGTAGCCTTCGCCCGTACGAGCTTCCATTGGTTCCGGCGAGACGGTCAGCCAGAGGAGCGAATATCAGCGGTCCCAGTATGGCGATCAGTGGGGCCACTACCGAGATGATTTGCGATTCCTTGTAGTCCAACCCGGTGAGGGTCATGTGCTTCTGCAGATACGGGTGGAGGCATCCTAGAGCTGTAAAGGAACGGACATTTTATTAGCGAAGTAAATTATTGGAATCTCGGGCATGGGATTAATAAGAATGCGCTTGTACCAGTTTATCGGTCAGTTTGGATTATCCAGAGCACCAGGACCACTCACCCTAGAATATCAATTCCATTGTAAATACTCTTTGATCTCGTAATTTTGGAAAATTCAGAAAAAAGTCGAATGGATCTAGGACAATTTATATGATGTGGCCATGATGTGAGCATACGTGATTTATTAGCTAGAGAAAGGTCTGAAGAGGGCAGGTAAATAGTTCCGCTAGAGTATGGCAGTATTAAAAATTGAATAGAAGTTGAAAATGAGAGAAGAGCCAATAATGGCGACAGTACTAGTCAGACGCACACTTCTCTACCTAACTCATACATATGGATGAGGAGACTTGAAGTACAGGCATACCTCGATATAACGTAACTGTAACTTTTGACCATCATCGTCGATATCTCTCAAATAAAAATTCGCAGCCAAAAACATTAGCTTCAAGGCTTTGCTGCTCCTAGATAACATTCCGTTGCATCCGCCCACCATAAGCAATCCCAACATAATATTTCTATACATGCCACCAAAGATCACGTCTTTGATTCAACCCCTTGATCAAGGCATCATCAAAAATTTCAAGCAGAAGTATGTCAAGAGAAGCTACAGTTTTATTCTGGAAACAGCCGAGTATTTGACAGTTTTTCTTGAACCGATGGCCGCCATCTTGGATTCCAAAATTGCGTCTGGCATCGATTTCCAGCCTCTACATCTCCGTTCCGCACACTAGCGCCGCGTAGTGAGAGAGTTCTTGAATAATATGACCACCATCCGAAAAGACTTGGTCACCTGAACAACTTCGATGAAATCAGCAGTTTTCTATACGGCCAGGTTTTCGAAATACAGTTTATATACGAAGTTCACATGCACAATAGCGCTGCGTAGTGAGAGAGTTCTGAACTAATATGAACTAATATTCGCGGTTCCTTATTCACGTCCCCGTTACCCGGCATTAAGGATTCCTGACTGTACATATTTCTTTATCGGCAACGGAAAATTGATGCAATAATTCTAATTATTTGATGGTTTAGAAGAGTGATTACAAATAATAGCAAAGGTAGGGTAACAGCGTACTATTCAAAGACTTATTGATATAAATAGTTTCTAAGATGATAGTTCTGCAGCTCTTCTAGTGATTCTGGGTGAAAACCCATTAAATTAGTTTTGAAAAATTTGTAAATAAGCGCTGTTGGTCTTGTAATCCCATAGCGTGCATTACCCAACCTTACCCAATAGAAATTTAATTATGCTGTAATAATTTTGATCGAAAAAATAGTGGGAATTTTTTTTCCCAATTTTGTCAGTTTCCTGTTTTTGTCTGCTAATCAAATCCAAATCGGGAAAGCACTGTATCAGGAAAATTTTAGTCTCAGTATGGTACTTCAGGGAAAATTGTGCTAACGTCCTCCAGAAATTTCTTTTTTTCCGGATTTTTTCTCAACTTATTCTTGAAGCTTCTTTCGATTTTTCCATAAGCCCTCTGACTTCCGACTTTCTCCAGAACTTTCTTCCAATATATCTTAGGATTTTCCTTCCAGCGTCTCGGATATACCTATCGGATTCTCCCAGAAGTTTCTTTCGTCTTTCTCTGGAAGTTTCTCCAAAAGCTATTCTCCGTATTCACTCTCACTTCTATCAATCATAGGGATTTTTTTCATTTGGTTTGATTTCCGTCGATCTTGTTTTCCGTGCTGAGCACCAATGCTACCGACGCCAGGGAGGCAACTCCCACACCTGGACCCTACCTATCGACCCATCAACTCATGAATCGGGGACCAACGGCTTTATGGGAAACATTGTCAAATACCCTTCCATATGGGTATTTTTGGAAGTGTGGTGACGTCTAGAGACCGTAATTTCGCGATTTCGAACTAGTAGTACGAGGCATAGACGTCACCACGATTTCAAAAATACCCATATTGAAGGGTATTTGGCAATGTTTCCCAGTTTTGATACAACCAGAAGCCGCCATATTGGATTGCTAAATGGCGTCGGACCTCGATTTCCGGTTTCAAGACGGCACCACGGTTCCAAAAATACGCATATTGAAGGGTATTTGACAATATTTCCCAGTTTTTATGAGACCGGAATCCACCATCTTGAATTTCAAAATGGCGTGACCACAATTCCAAAACTATCAATATTGACCGGAATTCGACAACGTTTCCCAGTTTTTATGCAACCGGAAGCCACCATCTTGGATTTCAAAATGTCATCGGTCATCGATTTCAGAGCTGTACACGCCACCACGATCCCAAAAATAGGGTGGCGAAGGGTAGTTGACAATGTTTCCCATTTTTGATTTAACCAGCAGCCGCTATCTTGCATTGCAAAATGGTGTCGGACATCCGCATATGATCAATACCCACATTGAAGGGTGTTCGACAATGTTCCCTAGTTTGTATGCAGGGTGTTCGGTTCCTTAGTGCACATATTTTAAGGGGTTTTTAGCCCGACCAGGAACCGATAACTAACTGATAACATATGAATATCTTATTTTGGTATAAAACTATTATTCAGTTACCGAGATTTTTTTGTAAAAAACAAGGAGTAAGTCACTCAGCACAGTGTGCCGAAAGTAGATTCGGCACAGCTTGGGCACAATCTCGTAGGCGTTGGATTGTTCATCAAATAAAATGGGAGCACTGCTGGACAGCTGTCATTGAAGTTGTTCACAACATTACGTGCTGTTGAGGCAACGGCTCGGGAGGGGCCGGATGTGGCCTTGTAAGGACCCTACTTTTCGGCAGCAAATCACCAGCAATCGGTCAATTGGTCATCTACCAAACCAAACTCACTTGAACAATACCGAACTACTTTTCACAGTACAATCACACGGAATTTTTATTGCTTCCACTCAACCTAATTATCTTAGAATTTTTAAACCGAATTTCAATGGTTGAGGTACTACGAGCGAATTCTCCCGGAACTCCAACCCCATGGCAAAACCGAACGTCTTAGCTTGGGATCCTTCTTCTTGGCATAATCCATTCCGCCGTCGAAAACCTCCTAGAGTGTCTTGCCCGGAATCATCACCTTTCCTCTTTCAGATTGATCAGTAAGGTGTAGTGCTTCTGAATCGTTTCCGTCGGATTGACCAGCAACGTTCGGACGACATTGGAGCAGTAAGACTTATAACGCGCACCCAGAGCACAGATGATCGATCCGAAGTGCAGATAGTTATTGTCACTGAATGCACTGAATTTCAGAGCCTGCTCGACACCCTCCGACAGTTTGGTATGTTTTACTTTCTTTTCAGCATCGATAATCTCCATGATGTGATCCTTTAGGTACGTCTACCGTCACCAGGCAGGTCTTCTTGATAGTGATAACCTCGAAGACCCCCTTGGAGCACATGATGCGTGTCGAAGCTATTGTCATTGACGAAGGCACGCCAAGATTCACATAATTCACCCGGAAAGTTGTCATTGGAGAAGACTCCCAACGTTTTACCCTCCTTGGATCCCTTGATCGCCTCCAGCAGCTTTTCAAAATTGGTCTTGTCTTTGTCACAGCTTCACCGACGGAATGCCCTCCTCACCGTCCTTCTCGATCTGCTTCAAGAAGTCGATCTTCTGGTCAGGAAAAAGATGGACTTTTCGCACAGAACCGTAATCGTATCGGTCAGCTCGTATCCCAGCAGTCAGGTCTGCAGCGAGGTGGATTTGCTTTAGATGGTTTTCTCGTCTACGCCGTACGCCGTCAGAATGCAATCCACCTTCTGCAGCGAATCATCATGGGAAAACTCTGGTTTCTTCCAGTTTTCGTAGAGGCGTTTTGTTCGTCGGTAGAAGGAATCCTTATCGAGCACGATATTCGACATTTTAGTTCAATTATCGTATCCAACGGTTTTCAATGCGGGAACACTTCCTGTTGCTCTCCGGCTTTTTTTGACGTAGGACTACGTCTATGATTTCTATATGGGGGTACACTTTGTGAAAACTGAAAATGGAACATGTAACAAAAAATGAAAGATTTTGAACGCTAATAACTCAGCTGCCCCTGGACTAATTTCAATAATTTTATCACCATTCGATCAGATATATAAATCCCACTATTGAAAATTACACGAATTTGCAACTGTTGCTTTGATAGTTAAAATTATCACTGATTGCCTGCGAAAAGCGATTTCCCTAACCCAAATTTCAAAGTTGAATTCTATCCGGTCTCATCAAACGGTGTTTATTCAATCACCGCGTGATGAGTGGTGGTGTTCTCAAGTACACAACGAAAGGCTACTTGCAAGCTGCGAGCTGCAGCCCACATTACCATCCATAGAATGAGGAAGAAACCGCACAGCTATTGATCGGAGTCAGTAGCTCTTCGTGAGTCGCTGTGCATGCTTGGCATACACAGTTGTACACACCAACTGCTCATTTGTTAATAACTTTACACAGAGTTGACGAAACAAAGTTCTTTTTGAAGCAGTAGATATAATTGAGTTTAGCTTTAAATAGATACATAAAACAAAGTAGATTTTAATTCAAGTCATAAACTGTATTTGTTTTTGCGTTGTGAAAATGAAGTGAGAAATGCTCGCTGCACATCTCGGACTTTAAAAATAAAAATTAATTGGTTTTGATTCAAATGTTTAGATTTATCTTCTTTTTGCACATATAAAGTAAGCTATGATCTTAATCTATCAATTACTTTAAAGAAAAACAAATTTCAACAACTGAGTAAAAAGTTATTAACAAATGAGCAGTTTGTGTGTGCAACTGTGTATACCAAGCATGTCGCTGTGGGCCATCTATATCAAGTGCGTAATACTAAAGAGTGTAAACAGAGAGAACCCCACTCAAATTCCTATTCCTTCACAAAACACAAGCTCCTGCTGCGGTTAAAAAATAAGATTTATTATATAAGACCACGTAGTCCTACGTCACCATTGCGAACAACCCCATAGGGCTGTCCCTTGTAGTTTTATTTTATTT